ATTGGATTATTTACTAATGTGGCAAATATATTAATATTTTCTTATGGTAGACTTCGTGCAAATATTTGTTCATGGTATTTCATATGTCTATCGGTTAGTCAAATCCTTCTACTATTCTTCAGTGGTCTCTATCGTATGATAGTCACTGGTTGGAATAATGGCTATGATTATACTCAAATATCGATGGATCTTTGTAAGTTTCGAGGTTATGGATTTGTATTGAGTGTTGTGTTAAGTCGGCATTTTTTATGCTTAATATTATTGGATCGATGGATGATAACATCACGTTCAGCTTCATTAAGAAATAAAAGTTCTCTTAAAGTTGGCCGATGGGTGATTCTTTTTAGTTTTGTATTTTGGATGTTATTTTCTTTACAAGTTCCAATTGGAAATCCAAGTGCACCAGGTTTCGGTTGTGGGCCAATGCCAGGTTCCACTTATCAAATGTTTTATTTGATTTATACAGTTGTTATTGGAATTCTTCCTCTGCTGATTATGATGGTTTTAGTTCTGTTAATAATGAAAAATTTACGAAATAGAGGTCGAGCAATTCACCCAAGTGCTTCTTTAACACAACAAACTTCAAATCATTTGCCAGTAAGACAATCCCGAAATGATTTTCAACTAATTCGACTAAGTGTAATTCAAATACTTTGTTTTATTCTATTCAATGTGATCTACTCATTATTTCCACTTTATTATTCGTTAACAATGTCACAAGTAAGAATCGGTGACCGAGTACCTATTGAAATGTTCATCAGTAATATTGGCCAATGTCTTTTACTTACATATGCAGCAGTAAGTATTCTATTTAAATTAGTTCTATCAAAGATATTAATATCTCTAATATAAACATAACATTGTCTATTTTTAGGTAACATTTGCTCTATATATATTAGCATCAAGTATATTTCGACAAGAGTTTAAAGAATGTTGTAAAAGAATTTATCAACATGTTATTCGTACTATTAGTAATACTTGATGAAACACTATCAAATGATTAATTACAATAC